CACTGAGTCAATTTTGCAGCCACAAAACAGAAGAAGCCTGTAAGCCTCAGCCCACCCCCAGGTCAACAGATATGAAAAGGATGCTGAGTATCTTCTAAGGTGCAAATGTTTGAGCTGCAGCCATCACCTGCATCCTCTCCTAGCCAGGTCTAAACTCCCAGACATGTTTTGACTTGTACTTACAGTGTCTCAGATAATGTGGCTTCTGTCCTACCTTAGGGGAAGCAAACAAGGTTTGGGAAGGTGGGCATCCACTTCTACAAGTTTATAAAACATTATATAATGTCACTGAAGTGCATGACACTTTACAGTGCAATGTAAACAAAAAGAAGAGCTTACTATTTTAATTTCATCAGAGAGGAAGAAAGTAGGGGGAGTGGAGAAGGAAGAAGGCAAAGGGAAGGGTAACAAGGAAATACATATACGCAAAGGGAGTTACATGCACTTATGTTTAATTTATATATATTATAATAATAATACATTTTTATTTATACCCCGCCCTCCCTGGCCAGATTACAATATTACAATAAAAACATAATGGGGGGGGGCAATTTAAAAAACGGGTTAAAATACAATTTAAAATGCAGCCTCATTTTAATAGTAGCCCATGCATCAAAACCATAAGAGGAGGGAAACATGAGGGTCAGACTGAGTCCAAACCAAAGGCCAGGTGGAACAGCTCTGTCTTCCAGGCCCTGCAGAAAGATGTCAAGTCCTGCAGGGCCCTAGTCTCTTGTGACAGAGTGTTCCACCAAGTTGGGGCCAGTACTGAAAAGGCCCTGGCCCTAGTTAAGACCAATCTAACCACCTTGCGACTTGGGACCTCCAAAGTGTTGTCATTTGTGGACCTTAAGGTCCTCTGTGGGGCATATCAGGAGAGGCAGTCCCGTATGAGTTAAGGAGTAGGGTGGATCATTTTCAGCTGCAGGGCCACATTCCCTGCTGGGTGAACTTGCAGGGGCCACATCCTAGTGGTGGGTGGAGCCAGAGGCAAAATGGCTCAGAGCAATCCAGGTTTCCCTCCCCATTTTGCACAGTAGTCTGGTATCAACACATTCGAGCAACCTCTGCATTCTCCACTGTAGGCAGGCAAGAGCAATATCAGAATTCAATGACACATTTCAATCAGGTAAAAGCATTCAAGAAAGGTGCACAGCGGAGCCTGTAAAGGGATGTGCCTGCGGAGACAGAGATGCCTGGAGGGGCCCATTTGGCCCTTGGGTCTGAGGTTCACCATAGCGGTTTATAGCGTGCCTGTGGATGTATGTTGATACAAGGGATTTGGGCATTAGGGAAGAAAGGAGAAAGAATTCATTTCTCTCATCTGCTAACTTTCAATGGAGAAAACAGATGGCTGCCTCCCATTCCTCTTTGCTGCTGGTAGAAGGAATAATATTTCCAAATCCTGGAGATTATGTCTGTGTAGAGTTGGAGGGTCTACAACAATATGGAATGCATCTTGCTACCAGGGTAGATCTTATGTTTACTGGGTTCACAGACGAGAGGAGTCGTTTGGCTTTTCTCAGCGCAGGAAAAAGAAAGTTCATCACTTTGTGCATCTACATGCACACATACACTTTCTCTTAAGGGAATGGGTTTGCCGTTTCATTCTGGATCAGACTTCAAGGGCTTAAAGCTCCAAATTGGAGCCAGATCTCCAGCCTTAGTTTAGCATTTGGAAAAGGCTCTGGACAAGTTTGTATGGTCCCCAGTGTGGATGTCTGCATGCATGTACAGGAGAGCAGGAAGGCTGTTCCTCTCCCTGTATATGTCTAATGTATGCATTGGGCTTCAGAGGCAGAATCAGTTTCTGAGTATTTGTTATTGCTTTTAGACGGTTCTTGCAAACCTATCCTCCAAAGGTTGCTTTCCCTGAAGAGTGACTCCACCATTTTCATCAGTGGCTGGTCGGGTGGTATGAGTGGGGCGCCATTGCTTTCCTGCCTTCCCAGTGCCACAGGTCACTGCTACTTACTTGAAGGGGAAGGGGGAGTGGAGAGCTCTGTTTGGTGTGGTGCGTGGCAGTGGAGACAGTGGAGTAGCATGGGTTGCTGGTGTCCGGGGCAAGGCAAGTATCCTAAGCACTGCCTACCAATAGGCTGTAACGAAGGGACGATAGCTTGGCAATCTACCCAAGTGGCAGCCCCAGTGCTCCATTGAGCACAGCAGGGAGCGGGGTGGGGGATTGGGTATCTTTCTAAAGCCGTTCCCCAAATCCACTCCTCAGTCTGCCCCCTTGTGTGAGGGGGAGGGTGCACTATTTATTATTATTATTATTATTTTATTTTGAAATTTTGCCCCCCTAAGAATTTTGCACCCGGGACCACCACCCCTGTGGCCCCGCCCATGCTATGCCACTCAGCGGAGTCAATCCAATACTCTTGCTGCCATGATCCACACCTTGCCTTTGTACCTCCATAGCGCTTTCGTTGGTGCATATTTAAGATGAACTTACAACCACCTCTCACCTTGATTGTTAGAGCCAGCCCTACCAGGAGGCAGAGTGAAGTATCAGCCTCGGGCAGCCATAAATGGGCAGACCAAGCAGTGCTTGCTGCACAGCCTGATCCACATCCCCTCAGCTAGCCCGATTTCCTCAGCAGCAACAGAGGATGCTGCCCCAATGCCAGAGTTGAAGTAAAGTTTAGCTGCCAGTCCTGTTGGCTCCTCTATGCTAAGTTTTTTCAATGAATCCAGGGACACTTCATTGAAATGAGTTGGAATGTAACGGTCGGAGCGAAACAATATAAACTGAAAGCATTTGCAGATGACCTTGTATTGACATTACAGGAGCCAGAATCTAGTACGAAAAGAGCATTAGAACTGATTCAAGAATTTGGTCAGGTGGCAGGTTTTAAGCTGAATAAGTTTAAAACTAAAGTACTTGAGAAGAATTTAACACCGATCGAAAAAAGAGAGGTTTCAGAATGAGACAGGTTTAACAGTGGTAAAAAAAGTGAAATACTTGGGGATTCATATGACAGCTAAAAATGGGAATTTATTTAAAGACAATTACGAAAAGTGTTGGTCGGACATTAAAAAGGATCTAGAAATATGGTCAAATTTGAAGCTTTCCTTGTTAGGTCGAATTGCTGTCATCAAGATGAATGTATTGCCAAGAATGCTGTTTTTGTTTCAATCGATACAAATAATAGATAAAATGGACTGTTTTAAGAAGTGGCAGAGAGATATTTCTAAATTTGTCTGGCAGGGCAAGAGGCCCAGGATAAAATTTAAAATATTGACTGATGCTAAAGAAAGAGGGGGATTTGCCCTGCCAGACCTTAAACTTTATTATGAATCAGCAGCTTTCTGCTGGTTGAAGGATTGGTTACTTCTGGAAAATACTGATGTTTTGGACTTAGAAGGTTTCAATAATGTGTTTGGGTGGCATGCATATTTGTGGTATGACAAGGTTAAAGCTCACAAAATTTTTAAAAACCATATTGTCAGGAAAGCATTGTTCAATGTCTGGATAAGATATAAAGACTTATTGGAAAACAAAACCCCAAGGTGGTTATCACCAATGGAGGCAAAGGCCCTAAAAAAGTCCAATATGGAGGCCAAGTGGCCAAAATATTGGGAGATCTTGGAACAAGAAGGAGATAAATTCAAATTGCAGAGTTTTGAAAAATTAAAAGATAGAGTGCGAGACTGGTTGCATTATTATCAAATAAGAGAGGTCTATAATTTGGATAGAAAAATTGGCTTCCAGGTGGAAAAATCAAAGTTGGAAACAGAACTGCTAGATCCCAAAACTAAAACACTTTCAAGAATGTATAACTTGCTGCTAAAATGGAATACTCAGGATGAAACGGTAAAATCTGCTATGATTAAATGGGCACAGGATGTTGGACATAATATTATGTTTGCTGACTGGGAACGGTTATGGACCACAGGTACGAAGTTTACAGCATGTAATGCTTTAAAAGAGAATATAATGAAAATGGTGTACAGGTGGTACATGACCCCAGTCAAGCTTGCAAAAATCTATCACTTGCCCGATAATAAATGTTGGAAATGTAAAGAAACTGAAGGTACATTCTTTCACCTTTGGTGGACGTGCCCAAAGATTAAGGCTTTCTGGGAAATGATATATAATGAATTAAAAAAGGTATTCAAATATACCTTCCCTAAGAAACCAGAGGCCTTTCTCCTGGGCATAGTCGGCCAATTGGTGTTAAAAAAGGACAGAACTTTCTTTATGTACGCAACAACAGCAGCAAGAATACTCATCGCAAAGTATTGGAAGACAAAAGATTTACCCACTCTGGAAGAATGGCAGACGAAGGTAATTGAATATATGGAACTGGCTGAGATGACTGGCAGAATCCGTGACCAGGGAGAAGAGTCGGTGGAAGAAGACTGGAAGAAATTTAAAGACTATCTACAGAAATACTATAAAATTAATGAATGTTAAATTGAGGTCTGATTGAAAATAACTGGTATTGGCAAAAGTCTTGTGATTAAGAGCATGGAATATTTGATGGATAAAGCTGTAATATTTATATATAAATAGATTAACTTTGAGTTAAGATAAAGAAAGGAGGGTAAGGATTTGCTGAAAGGAGTTTTTTAATGGAAATACAAGCGGGAGATGTGGGAAGTCAAAGAATTAGGTAATGATAAGAAGGTTAAATGAAGGTATATTACTTTTTAAATTTTTCTGTCTTTTTTCTTTTTTCTTTTTTCCTTTTTTTTTTTTTCTTTTTGTGTTAGGGATATTGTTATCTATGTTTGCTTTTTGTTATGGTTATTGTTGTTTTCTGTTTGTCGAATTTTTGTATTTTTCCACATCTTTTGGAATTTGTTTTTGTAAAACCAATAAATATTATAAAAAAAAAAAAAGAAATGAGTTGGAATGATAGGATTTTGTTAGGGGACTGATTTGTAAATCTGGGGACTGTCCCCGAGAAATGGGGACATCTGTTAATCCTACTCTATGCGTGATGGAGAGGGCGCCATTTTATAACTTTCCTTCAGACAACACAAAGTCAACTGCTGGGATAACTCAGTTGGTGGAGCACAAGACTCTTAATCTTGGAGCCGTGGGTTCAAGCCCCTCGTTGGGCAAAAGATTCCTGCATTGGGTTGGACTAATTCACCCTCGTGTTTTCTTCCGACTTTACCACTCAGGGATTCTTGGGCCAGCCCTGTGAAGTGTATTCACAATCTTTCTTTCTTTCTTTCTTTCTTTCTTTCTTTCTTTCTTTCTTTCTTTCTTTCACTCCTGGGCAGGAAAAAAATAGAAGGTGAGTTGAAAGAAGGTATTAAATTTTTTTTTTGAGAGATTAGTAGCTTTAAGACAGATGAGAGACTTTGAAAAAGAAACAGAAAAACCCTAAGAGTCAGGAGCCCTCTAAATGAAGGGCCTATTAAGTGGAGTCTCGTTGCTGCAACAACACATGGCTATGGTGAGCCTGTTCAGATGAGAAGGGTCTGTGTGGAGAGAGAGAGAGAGAGAGAGAGAGAGAGAGAGAGAGAGAGAGAGAGGTTACCTGAATAAAGAGGAAAAGAATAGGCTTATATTACAGGAAAACACCCTCCTTGAAACCAAAGAGGCTAGTAAATTATGATCTGGGTGGGGAAATCCATATACTTCACACCTTCTGAAGCCAAAATTAAACCATCCCCTAAACCAAAATTAAACCAGCAATATGAGTTAGGAAAGGTGTTATTTTTATCCTACAAAATGTATTTATAATCCCCAAGTATTTTTATGGCAGGAATTGGAATGGTATGAAGGAAGGTTGTTACATCTTACATTAAATGTGTGAGTAATAACACAGGTTTAAAAGGTTCAGTCTACCATCTTACTTTAAAACGGCATCCGATTGTACCGAAACACAGACCAAAGCCCATTTCTTCGTCCTTAGGGACCATTGTGGCCAATTCGGTGCTGATATCTTCAAAGGTGTCTGTATCAATACAGCATGAAATAATTTAGTTCATCATCTTGATTTGAAATGGCATCTGATGGTATCCAAACATGGACAGGAACTACCATGCCAAAATTGGTGTTTGTTATTAATAATAATATATCATCATGAGGATGATAGAAAGCATTGCATCAAATAATTTCATGCAATAAATTAAATCTCATTACTCAGACTTCAACATAATCAATTTAGACCTATATTGCACCAGAGGTAGCCAGTGTGGTGTTCTCCAGATATTGTCACACTACAACTTCCATTATCCTTGGCAACTGTACATGCTAGCTTGGGCTGATGGGTATTGTAGTCAAATGCCTGGATGGCACTGTATTGCCTATCCCTGCATTGCGTTGTTGGTTGTGCTACTCAGAATTCTTGCCACTGATTAATTTTTTGAAAGGTGTCACAATTATGAAATAAGAACATTAAAAGTCCCGATTAACAACTCCAAGTTCTTGTTTCATTCCTGGCATTAATCTTCCCTAATTCTTATCTTAGGCAATTGACTTTGTGTTGACCATGATATAATAGTGAGAAAATTAGTATTTGATCTAGGCCGGTTGTGAAGTATATGAGGCAATAAACAGTGTTTGCAAAGTGATTAGACACTGAAGCAAAGTCTTTCTCTCTCTCTTTCCCCCAGCACAATAAATATAAATCCTGTTCTATGAGCCAACCCTGTTCTTCAACTACACCCTTTGCATGGAAAATTGTAATTTGTGAGTTTAGTGATCATGGACATGGCTAGAAGTAATTCCACTGATTACAGCAGCAGCTTTTTCAACCATTTGGGACAGAGACAGTCCAAGAAATTTTGCTGCCTGGATCAAAGGGCAAGATGGTGCCCAGTCCCTATTTCATATACTGAAGCCAAGTGGACAGGCAACTGAAATTCACTTCAACGCTAGTGAAGGGATAGCATCTTCCACTGCACTAGAAAGCAGCAGAATTGTTGAATGGATCTAGCACACCCCATGTAACATAGTACACAGCTTGGACCTCCAACAGAGGGAAAGGGTCTCAGCAGGGCTTAGTAGGAATGTCTAAAGGGCGAGAGGTCACCATCACCTAGAACAAAGCTTGCTCAGGAATGCAGGCAGGCAGGTGGATAAACAGATGGGTGGATCTGGAACCAGACTAGGAAGCCAAATGTGCAAGGTCAGAGTCTGGATGTTGCCTAGCCAAAGCCCCACGTCCAACTGAGAAGTGTTTTGAGTTATTTGTTGTCTGTTCTTCATCCATAGTTCTCAACTTGCAGAAGGAGAGCCTAAAAACACAATAAAATGACACTGTAACAAATCACAGAGAACACTTAAGAAGGCCAGCAGAAGGTAGTGCAAAAATAGAAGTCCTGGGGACCAGGAAAAGAACCTCAATTGGGTGCCAACAATAAAATAAAGAATGCTAGGGTGGAAAAGACCTTGATGCTGGTCATCCCATCTGCTTAACTTCAAATGGCGATGTTGGCTTCTTAGAACAGCAGCTTTCGAGGTCTAAACTACACTTGGTGCATATCCTGTGCCCTTGAGGGCAAGCTTATTTTCTTTAACAGGTTGCCAGAGGTGGAGCTGAGCCTGGATTGGAACCATAGCACAGGCAGTAGGAAGCTTTAACCCTTTGCCCCCTGACGTGATCCTACGCAACCGCTTGTGATGGCAATCCATGAAAGAAAAATGATGTGATTGATGTCATGCATAGCCAAGAAATGTGGCAATTGTTTTGTTCTGTGGATATGGGGACTCACAAATTGGCACCAGCCCACCCCTCCACCTCAGATGGATGGATGGTCCAACCAGCTACCAAGTGAGGCAAAGATCCTTGGCACTCCATCCACCTCTCTGTCTGAGAAAGGGCCAAGTCTGAGAAAGGGCCAAGTTGGCTCTCCAGATCAGGCGGCCTTATGAATAAGATGGCTATGAGGAGTAGCTGGAAATACTGCTTGGAACTGGTGTAACCTTTGTAAAAAATAAATCTAACTTTCTAGCCACCATGGAAAACAAATTCACCTTAGGCACTCTCCTGGCTGCCTTGCCCAGAAGGCCACACTCTGAAGGACTCCCTTGGGCCTTTCTTGGAGTGGAGGTGGATTTAGGATGGTTGGGTCACATGGGGTGTGAAGCCTCAGGGGTGCTGCAGAGGGCCTCACAACTATGAAGTAGTTTGGAAGACACTGAATCTTGGTGTTGCACAGGGCACCACTGAAATTTGAGACTTCAAGGTCTACTGCAGCTCAGAACGAAGCAAGGCAGAGAGGAGGAAGGAGGAGTCAGAGACAAAGAGGGATGGCAGGCAAAGGAGGATGGCAGAGGAAGCAGTGAAAATGATGGAGAGGAGCACAATTCCTTGCCTGACACAGGTGTTGGTGGTCCTTTTCATAGCCACCCTTCTTTTGAGTGTGAGGAGTCTCTCATTCTCACATGACTCCTCCTCCCTTGAAAGAGCTGGTGTGGGCACTGGGGAGATGAGACAAGTCTGCTGGGGTGAGGGCAATGAGTAGGAATTCAAGGGAGCTCCCCTCATCCGCTCCCCTTCACTAGTCTCTGATTCTGTCCCTCCCAGTGGTGGACACCCAAAGCCCCCTGGACCCCAGATTGTCCTCTCCCCATTCTGCACCCCAAATCCATGTTCATCCACTTCCTGGATCTGCCAGCCCCTGACATATGTTCTTGTTTTGTCATTTAGTTGTGTCTGACTTCATGACCCCATGGACCAGAGCACGCCAGGCAATCCTGTCTTCCACCTCCTCCCACAGTTTGGTCAAACTCATGTTCGTAGCTTCAAGAACACTGTCCAACCATCTCGTCCTCTGTCGTCCCCTTCTCCTTGTGCCCTCCATCTTTCCCAGCATCAGGGTCTTTTCCAGGGAGTCTTCCCTTCTCATGAGGTGGCCAAAGTATTGGAGCCTCAGCTTCAGGATCTGTCCTTCCAGTGAGCACTCAGGGCTGATTTCCTTAAGAATGGATAGGTTTGATCTTCTTGCAGTCCATGGGACTCTCAAGAGTCTCCTCCAGCAACAGAATTCAAAAGCGATCAGCCTTCTTTATGGTCCAGCTCTCACTTCCATAAATCACTACTGGGAAAACCATAGCTTTAACTATACGGACCTTTGTTGGCAAGGTGATGTCTCTGCTTTTTAAGATGCTGTCTAGGTTTGTCATTGCTTTTCTCCCAAGAAGCAGGTGTCTTTTAATTTCGTGACTCCTGTCACCATCTGCAGTGATCATGGAGCCCAAGAAAGTAAAATCTCTCACTGCCTCCATTTCTTCCCCTTCTATTTACCAGGAGGTGATGGGACCAGTGGCCATGATCTTAGGTTTTTGATGTTGAGCTTCTCCTCTTTCACCCTCCTCTTTCACCCTCATTAAAAGGTTCTTTAATTCCTCCTCACTTTCTGCCATCAAGGTTATGTCATCTGCATATCTGAGGTTGTTGACATTTCTTCCAGCAATCTTAATTCCAGCTTGGGATTCATCCCCTGACATATAGCACCCCACATCTGAGTCCCTGCTGGTCATTGCCAGTGACCTACTGAGGCAGGTTGGTCTCAAGTCTCCCAAAGCTGGTTGGCTGGCGGTACAAGCGTTATCAGCAAAGTTTGGCCCAAAACATGCAGTCCAGGTTGCAGCACCGTTGCCTAATGGTACACCTTTCTCTTGTTCGGAAGGGCACCTTATTATCAGCATTGATCTGTCCATCTCCCCTTTCACGCTTCATGGCCAAACTTTGTCTTCTGCATGATGCATGGTTCCGTTTAGATCTGTCAAAGCAAATTCTTTCCAGACCTTTGCTTTGAAAGACGAATCATCTGAGACATCCTGTAGCCAGGAGGGATGGCAATTGCACTTTTGAGCTTCGGTAAAAAATATGAACAATATATGTCATGATGTCCGCCGCTGTAACAAACTTCCTATTAAGAAACTGAACCTTTCTTGCAGGAAGAGTGTGCGTGGAGGGAGTAGTGCGGCTGAAAACTAAATATAGAAAATAACATATATCAAGAGAGCGCATCGGCAGTAATTATCTCTCTGCCTGCGACTATATCTTACAGGAAGATCAAGGTTACATTTATGTCATCTTGTGTTTTATAGCTAGATACAGGAGTAACTCAAAGAGTTATGAACAATTTATCTTCCCCGA